TCCTGCTGATCCTCTGATGCTGGATGCCTGCCCACCTTCATCTGGCACTCTGCTCACCTTTTCCCAGCCCTCTGGCAGGCAGCCTGAGGTCTTTGAGCTGAAGAGACCTGGTTCTAAAGATGGCTTGATGTCCAGACACCTTGCTGGGAAATACTTCTGGAGAAGCATTTCCCACTTACTGAATGTTAACTGAAGGTTTTCCTGAGGTGAGAAAATGTCTCTCACTAGATGAATGGTGTTTAAAACCCTCTGTGGGATGGCCAGGTAAGCAAAAAAGGAGGGAGAAAAGCTGAAAGTGTCTGAGAGGAAAAAGAAGGGGAAAAAAAGGGAGAAATAATATGCTCAAAAGTCAGGGTTTCACTCCTGAAAACTAACAAATAAGGGGTGAGGAAAAGAAATACTTAACTAGGAGAACAGGGTCTAAATAGGAAACAGCACAAAGAGAAGAGAGAAGGAGGGGAAAGGCTACTGAAGGTTCAATGTCAACTGCAAATTGCTTTCAGTAACATAAAAGGCTCTCCAGCTTAGCAGGTGCACAGCACTGTCTTCATGCAGAGGTGGAAAACAAGGGAAATAACATCTTGCTATGACTGAATCAAAGCTCTGGTCTGAATGCCTGCAATAGAAATGCTCATTCCAGAACACACTCACATGGAGAAATGTTCCCCCAGATGGAGGTGTCAGAGAGCAGGGCCAAGAACAAACCCCAGCAGCTGGGTTTCCTCTCTGGTCCTGAGCTGCTGTGTACAGGGAACAGCTGAATAAAAGGCAAAACAAGACTGGTCCTTGGCTGGGAACAAAACGAGGAGGTGACATGCACACAAGAGAGCCCTTTATCCACCTTCTAACAATGGCACAGATGACAGTGCTCTCAGCTGGGTTTCAGGCAGCCTGGCACACAGCAACACACACCAGCTCAGGCAGGGCTGGAGGGCTCGTGGAGCTGCAACGTGGCTGGAAAAACCAGGGAAGTCCTTCTCCAAAGCTGGTACAGGCAGAAAGCAAGAAACACAGGGAAAAAAAGGCTAGGAAACTACAACAGCTGTTGCTGTTGTCCAGGGTGTTGCTGTTGCCACAGTGCTAAGATGTGCTGGCAGAAGAGAGATCATTTTATGAAGACAGAGAACACTGGGAATAGACAGAAGGGGAAAAAAAATTACTTACTGGCAATTTTCTATGTTGCATCAGGGCACACTGATGTGTTTTCATGCTCCAGGGAGAAAGACAAGGACTGTCACTCAAAGCAGAAATAAATATTTTGTCCTTTCATCTCTACCTCTTTTAAAGGTCAAAAAATTTCTCAAATGGAACAATTAAAAGCAATACATCAAATGAAGCAAAAAAGGATTGAGAATTTGACTGGAGACACAGAGCAGTGCAGCTGCCATCCTGAGGTAAAGCTCATCTTAAAACACAGGAAAAAAGAATTCCTGTAATTTAATAGGTAGTGTATCTGCAGGCATGTCCTACTTACACAGGATCAGAGAAACACAGTCCTGTTCAGGTTGCAAAGCCCTCCAGAACACACCCAGCCCAACACTCTGAGCAAGGCACATCCAGTTCCATCCAGTTGCTCAACTAATCCAGTCAGGTTGTTAGTATCTCCAAGCATGGTGATCTTCATCATAGAATCACAGAATGGTTTGGGTTGGAAGGGCCCTTCAAGCCCATCCAGTCCCAACCCCCTGCATGGGCAGGGACACCTCCCACCAGCCCAGGCTGCTCCAAGCCCCATCCAACCTGCCCTTCAACACTGCCAGGGATGGGGCAGCCACAGCTTCCCTGGGCAACCTGGGCCAGGCTCTCACCACCCTCACACTCCACAATTCCCTCCTCATCTCTCACCTCAATCTCCCCTCCTCCAGTTTTCATCCATTCCCCCTTGTCCTCTCCCTCCCTGCCCTTGTCCCAAGCCCCTCCCCAGCTTTCCTGGAGCCCCTTCAGGCCCTGGAAGCTGCTCTAAGGTCTCCCTGGAGCCTTCTCTTCTCCAGGCTGAACACCCCAACTCTCCCAGCCTGTATGGAACAACATACTTGACAAAACTCTATACTTAGCTTTTCTAAACAATGTTTTCTGGTATCATTTAGAGTACAGGAGGCTGCAAGTCCACCCCAGGGATCTTTGTCCACATCGTATCAGAGGAAAGATAAAGAATGGTTTGTCTTGAGAGTCGCAATGTCAGGAGATTAATCCTCTATTTGTGGGCTGGTGACTGAAATATCTTAGAGGCAGAAAAGACTAAGTGCTAACCAGGTCAGAAACCATTAATTTAAATGTGCATAACTAGTGTTAACAGCAAAAGCAGGTTGGGTTTACAGGAAGAGAACCCCCAACAGAGCGCTCCGTTTGCACTCCCAGACTGAAGCCTTGTTTATTCACAACCCCAAGGCTGATTCTCAAGCACAGCCATTACCCAGAGAGGACAGCCAGGGAAGGAGTGCAGAGGAGCTGGTTGCCAGGGCAGTGCTGGGAAGCTGTGCCTGCTGGCTGGGACTCACAGTCAGCTCCCAACACCCACCTGCAGCCCAGCAGCCCTGCATGTTGCTAACACTGGCTGCTTCTTCGGGCTTGGGCACCTGGGAGAAAAAATTCCTTTCCCAGAACTCAAAGATCTTTCAAATGGTGTGTTGTGACTAGCAGAAACAGGCAGAAAAGCCCTCAGAGCTCAGGAACAGAACACATCCCCAGGTGCTCACACCTTTGTGACACACTCTCCATTTTTACACAGCAACCCTTCACGTGGCTGAGAAATAAGAATTATTTTGCCAGTGTTTAACTCCTACCAAATTCAGAGTTACCCAGTCTGGGCTTGCTGCTGCAGAATAAACTCGTGCCTTTTCCCTCTTTCACCTTCCCTGTCATGTCCAACACATGCCTTTTTGACCACCAGTGAGTCCCCAGCTCCAGGCAGAAACTCCTCTCAACTGAAACCAACTATTTTGGGCTCATCCCAACATATGAAGACCCCACATAGAGCCACATTCCTTTCACAGAGAAGGAGTTTCCATCATTACAGTTACAATCCCTTGAGAGTATCTCTCTAACTGGGCTGTACATCAGCCAGATAATAAATGTGGGAGCATTTCACAGATCTTCTTCAACACTTTTTTTTTCTCCCTTAATTGAGTTCTTTCTGTTCTTTCTACTCTTTCTATTACTTCTTCCTGTTGCTTTATCCTGACCTCCTCCTGAGCAGTTGCACACCAAATGTCATGCACAAGCTCTGTACACACCAAGAAAACATAATAAAGGCAGCCAAGTCTCCATGGGTAAGTACTGAGACCATCATGCTGCATTAGAAGCTGCTTTGCTTGAAAATAAAAAGTGTTGTGTTGTTGGGTTTTTTCTTTCTTAAGGTCAAACAAAACTTCTAAATGAAAATATTCAATGCCACCTGTGAAAGGGAATTCCAAGTATATAACCAGGTATGAATCTTTAAACCAAGCCAACTAAAATAAATGAATAGAATATTAATAAGAGTGACTTGGAAGGGGAGGGTTGTACACAAGTGGCTGGTCTGAGAAGGGCTTTTGGCAGACTGGAGCAGCCCCACAGATGGTGATCATATACTGCATCCTAATCTGACATGATCTTGGATCACTGAAAAGAACTTAAATGGATATTTTCCTAACTGCTGCAGCAGCTCTAACAATAACATTCATCTTTATGTGCTGTAAGCACTCCTGTCTCAGTTGCATAATTCAGTGTCCTCAATTAGAGTCTCCAACCCAGCAGCGCCCTGACAGCTTTGAAAGGCTCCAGAACAGAGGCCCCAGACATTATACCAATAACTAACCCAGCTAATTAACAAATTAGGCTACATCACCTATGACATGAAGATGCTGACTGAGCTGAAAGGCTTTTCACTCTGTAGATTTATATACAGGCACGTTTTAATATTTAATGTGTTGGTTCTCACTGATGCCCCAGTGGTTCAAAAGCACCCATGGCATTGGAAATTCAAAATGCTCTCATGCTGGTTCACCTGACAACTTTTGTAAAGTTCTTGCAAATGAAAATAAAAACCCCAACAACCCAGAAAACAGCCTTTTCAGAACTGCTTCAGAGTTCTAGAGCTTGAGAAGCATTCACACCTCTGAAATGCTCCAAGGGAAAAACTGTTGACAGGAGGGAGAAGAGGGAAGAAAAATCTTCAGCTGTTTGAAAGACTATGTCATAAATACATTTTATCTTTAAAGGCAACTGTTTCTTCTTTTGAATGCCCACAACATGACCAAGGGTTTAAGAGAATTAAGCAACCAGTGATATATTCTTTATTATGTCATATTCCCTGCTCAAAAACTGCTCTGAGCAATGACTGACTTCATTAATACCAGATATATCTTTTCCTATTGTGTTCCACTGGTGACAGAAATACAAGGCTGAGCAGTTTTAAGATGTGCTGCTGGAAGAACTCCTGGCTTGCTTTTCACAGAGACCCATGCTGGCCACCAGCTACACCCAAGGCTCAGCCACCATTTCCTACTGAGAACTCAAAAAGATCTTCCTACTCCAACCACAACACCCGTGACTGCAAAATACATCAGTTCTGAAGGCAGCTGTGAGGACAATGTACTTACTTAGGCTACTCAGCTGTCTGATGATATTTGCCAAGGAGATGTTGGTGACACATTCCAGTTCATTCTTGATCCCCCGGGGTAGAGCTGTGTGGCACAGGTGCCTGGGGTCGATGTTCCTCTTCACCAGAGGCATCCTGGAATGGATCAGAGGACCAGCAGACCTGGGAAGAAAGGAGACAAAACACTCTGCTAAGTTTAACTGGCTTTTAAATTCAGATTACGTCTCAAGTGGCTAATGCCAACAGGATAAAAACACCCCCATAACACTGATGGAATTCACTGCTCAGTGTTTACACAAATCTTTATGTCTTTGCCCAATAAAAGACTATTTTTTTCTCCCTCTTTAAACCTTTACCTGACTCAGATGCCACTGAACTGACAGGTATTTTTCTTACAGTCCATGCTTTTTTAATTCCCCCCCCCTGTGAAAAATGACAGGGAAATCTTTGCAGTACAAACTGGTTGAGAATTATCTCCTCTGGATGGACTACTTCCTTATTCAGGCCAGGCAAAGTCCAACCACAAATTCCCTTTATTGTGGGGTCAAAGTCAAACCATTTGCCTGCTCCACCTGGAAGGCAGGTATGATCCATTCATGATGCTGTGTCACTAGCAGGACTCACCCTTTTAGCCTCAACATCACTTCTAAATCACACCTAATCAAGCTAAGGAAAGAGATGATGTTTCCCTTCCACCTGCACTGCTACTGGCAGTAAATCCAGCTAAGAATGCATCTTCCAAAGACAAATGTCTCGGCAGGAAGCTTGTAAAGTCCTCCACGACTTTGAAACCCTTCCTCTCCACACCTTTCCAAACCCACACATGTTAAACTAAACAAGAGTCCTCACTGGTTCTGCAGACACCACAATAATCCTCTCGGGCTGTGACTCCCAGGCTTGTCGTTTTCTGCGCCCAGGGCACTGGGAGAAGGAGGTTCCCAAGGGGCAAGTTCTGCCTCTCATCTCATCAGCACTGCTTAGTACGAGCTGCCTGCTAAAAACTTGTCTTAATGAAAAAAGGATTCCCTAAGATTCTGTTATTCCAACATCTCACAGGATCACAGGATCTGAGGGGTTGGAGGGACCTGGAAAGCTCCCCCAGCCCAGCCCCCCTGCCAGAGCAGGGGCACCCAGAGCACATCACACAGGAACGTGGCCAGGGGGGTTGGAATGTCTCCAGAGAAGGAGACTCCACAGCCTCTCTGGGCAGCCTGGCCCAGGGCTCTGTCACCCTCACAGCAAAGAAGTTCTTCCTGAGATTCACATGGAACCTCCTGTGCTCCAGTTTGCACCCACTGCCCCTTGTCCTGTCACTGGACATCACTGCACAAAGCCTGGCTCTGTCCTCCTGACACTGCCCTGAACAGATTTGTGCCCATGGATGAGGTGGCCCCTCAGTCTCCTCTTCTCCAAGCCCAACAGACCCAGCTCCCTCAGCCTTTCCTCAGCAGGGAGATGTTCCCCTCCCTCCATCACCTTGGTGGCTCCACCTGTCACACCCAGCTTGGAGTGACCAGAGCAGAACTCCCATTTGATAGGCAGGGAAGGGACCCTCTTGTCACTGGTCACACTGGGTCTCCCTTCCCATTGCCAACCAGGGCCACCCCTCTTCAGAGAGCAAGGCAGGCAAGTGCTCCACCTTGTCCCTCACCCCACCTGCCACAGCTGCACCTGGTCTCTGCTTAGCATCCAAAAAGGTCTCCAGGATGCAGGCAGGGCTTGTGCTGTGCCATGGGATGCACCTTCCCTGGGGGAGGCACTTCCAGCCACTTCAGCTGGTTGAAATGGAGAGATGCTTTGGATCAGAATGACCTAAGGCCAGGACGAAGTTTTTACCACCTAGAATGAAATAGGGGATGACTCTTTGGAGTCAAAGATGGAGCATTTTCCCCTCACAGACTGCTTAGATTCCTCCTGGACACCTGTCCCTGGGAGTATGTTCTTTCACTGGAGCCAGGGCTCGTAGCTGAGGGACACAGGTAGGATCCTCAAGTCTATCTGAGAAATATCTCTGTGCTTCCAGCATCTGATTAAACTGAATTCATTGCATTTTAACACCAGGCCTCTCACCCTTGTTTTCCAGAGAGCTAAAACCAATTAAAATAATCACTAGAATGATGACACAGCTCTTAAACTGTTAACTGTAAAAATGATGACAGTGTGCAAGGGTCATTCATAAGAATTATTTTCATTTTCTAGGAATATCCCAAATATTTCTAGTCCCTACATACCTAGTGTACTAAAAAGCTAGATGCTACATACAAGCTAAATGAAATTAAAATGCAAATCTGAACACTGTCTCTGACAGAAACAATGCCCAAGACTTTATACCTGCTGGCACAAGAGGCAGGTGCAGCATGAAGCAAAGGGAGGTCAGACAGGCCCCACCAGCAGAGCTGCTGCTGTCTTAGGGGCACACAAACCCTCTCCCCCCACTGACAAGACCCTGAAGAAACCCCTAAGGACAGGTTGGTTATCATGGTTCCCCAGGAGAAAATATTCTGTCGCTGTCAAAGAAACAGCAACAAATGATACGTGAGCAATGTTCTACAGCAGCAATTAAATATTCATTCCCCAGTTAAGCCCTTTCTTGATTACTGCTTTAATGATACTATTGTATAAAGGGCACAGCAGGCAAGTCTTTTAAAAAGAGGCCCAAACAAGAATTCAAAGAAATGTTTTTACAGAAGTAAGAATTCACATCTACAAGAAACTGAAATAGTCCTTATTGCTAATTTAATTTTTAACCCTGTATTTCTAATAGATGCCTGGGTTATAAAGGCAAAACAAATCTGTAAATAAGAAGCATAAAAGCAGTTGATGGCTCCTGCACTTTTTTGTTAATCTCACATCATCAAGGTGTCAGTAAGTTAGGATATTGCTCTCCATCCTTGATTTTACATTAATGAAACAACTTGCTGACTTTACAGCCTTTATAGATGGTTAAGCTTCAGGTGCTCAAGTGGCTGATTCTTTACCAAAGTCTGTGTCTCAGCAATTGTAAGCATTTTTAAAAGCAGTTTCAGCCAACTGCCAGCTAGATTTTAAGTTACATCATCTGAGTGTGTATTGCCCTTCCCCTGTCTGATTTCTCTCTCGGATAGGGCATGCAACAAAAGAGCTGAAAAGCTGCAGTTTTGGCCCAAACATTTTCTACAATACACATAAAATAATGCTGCACAAGCAGATATTAAGCCAGAATTCCCTGGACCACCAAAGGTACAGCTCTGAACCCCAATAAAAGTCCATTTAAGACAATTAAAATATTCACACTTTGACCTCTCTAGAATTTGCAGAAAATCTCCCCTTTGGCCTTTTTTTTTTCCACCATAAATACCATTTCCTAATGTCTGAAAACCACAATTGTGGCTGTTCCTACCCAAGGATGTGGTGTAACAAGACAAGATAGCAGAAGGAACAGCAAACATGGTCAATATATAGTTTTAAAACCAGAATAAACTTGGAAACCAATGACAGAAGATCCAAGTGACACCTTCCAAATTACATATCAGGTTTGAAAACTATGTCAAGCCTTGAAGACAAGAGTGTTTCCCCATCTCCCACAGAAACAAGAAGGAGGCAAGGAAGGGAAATCCCACTCAAAACGTGCTCAGAGCAAAGGAAAAGGCATTTCACACAGTGAGTAAGGAATCCTGGACACTGTGCACAACACAAGTACCTGCTGGTAATTTGCCCACCGTGCACCACATAATCCTTGGAAGTTTGTTGCAACCACTAGAAGGGTCTTGATGGTTCCTCCCCAGTCGTATCCAGTGATCCCAGCACGGGGAGCAAGAGGTGGAGCAACAGAATTTTACCCTAACAATTTCTTCGTTCCTATAAAAATAAAATGCCTTTCTGATGCAGGTTGTTTTTTGTAAAAAAAAATTTCTGAAATAACTACAAATATAGTTAACATATAATAAATATGATGCAGCTTTAGGGCTGTGAAAGAGGAAAAGAGGGGCACTGTTACAATCCAGTAGCTCCTTTAGGTTAAAAGCAAAACAACACACACCCCTGGCACCCCCAGAGCATCCATGGCACAAGGCACTGGGGCAGCAAGGGAAAAAAATGCCTTCCTAGATGATAAAATCCTGTTACCAGAGTTGCTCTCAAGCCCTGGAAACTGTTTGTCACCCCAGCCAGGCAGAAGAGAGGAGCTTGTCAGTGCCTGAGAGCATCCCCAGGATGGAAGGGAAGTTACATGACACCTCCTCAGACACTTCTGTCCCTCCCCACTGCTCCCCAGCTCAGAGCTCAGGGGAAGGAAGGGAAAGCAAAGCTCAGGTACCAGGGCCTCCCCTGCCCAAGATAAACCTCTTGAGGAAGCTCTGGAGAAGCAGCCACTGGTTCACACTGGAGTTAAATGGTATATATATATATTTGAGACAGGCTTTCTTAGGAGTGAAGAAGAATCACAGCACCACAGGGTCGCTGGAGCTGGAAGGGACCTCCAGGGATCATCCAGTCCCACCCCACTCCAGCAGGACCCCCTGGAGCACATCCCACAGGGCTGCATCCAGGGGTGAATCTCTCCAGAGAAGGGGACTCCACAGCCCCCTGGGCAGCCTGTCCCAGGGCTCTGTCACCCTCACAGACAAGAAGTTTCTCCCCACCTTTCAGGGGCACTTCCCATGTTCCAGCTGGTGCCCGTTGCCCCTCGCCCTGTCCCTGGGCACTGCTGAGCAGAGTCTGGCTCCACTCGCTTCTCCAATTCATTCCTATAACTTACAACACCCACAGAACAGCAGCACTAATGAAAGTTTATCTTTTTAGAAGAAGAGCTTTGAGGGGACCTGCCTGCATTGCTATTCAGAAGGCAACTTGTTCAGTGCACTGCAAAGCCCTACAGCCACACCACAGCCTCTACACCCACACCACAGCCCTACCCCCACCCCACAGCCCTCCAGCCACACCACAGCCCTCCAGCCACACCACAGCCCTCCAGCCACACCACAGCCCTCCAGCCACACCACAGCCCTCCAGCCACACCACAGCCCTCCAGCCACACCACAGCCCTCCAGCCACACCACAGCCCTCCAGCCACACCACAGCCCTCCAGCCACACCACAGCCCTCCAGCCACACCACAGCCCTCCAGCCACACCACAGCCCTCCAGCCACACCACAGCCCTCCAGCCACACCACAGCCCT